TGGCTCATAAATGCTTTTAGAAAGGTTATAAAAAAGTTATTTGACAAGTTTTTCATAATCTTAGATTGACACAAGCACTACATTGTAAGTACACATACCTGTCAACCCAATGAGTAACTACAACCATATTTTACCGAAGAAAAACATCTTCCTTCACCCACCCTCTCCACTAACTTTTGTTATTAATCAGATTTTCTTCCATTCTATGTGTAGTTTTGTTGGTCATGTTGGTCTTTGACATTAGCTGCCTGATATGAGGATCTTCATAATATAAAGCTGCCACACTGTTTATCCTGTAGGAAGCCATATAACAAAAGTGTCAGGTGAAAAAATGATAAACAATACATGTAGATCCCTTTCCGAAAGTTAGATATTCTTTTGTTTTCTTAAAGTTTGTTTTCTGGGTCAAGTTTTCACAGATGATTGATAGGAAACGCCATTTTGAGATCTGCTGAGAGCCAGAAGGCTTATGAATAAAGTATTAAGTAACATCCTTCTGGCTTTAAATTCAATGATACATTCACAAATGAAGAGGATCTCAATTCATTTCCTTATCACTTTACATTTTGCCATAAACTACTGTATAAATGCCCCTTAACCTTTAACGCTTTGATTCAACATAGAAGGGATATGTGGGTCATTCAATTGATTCAAATTAGACAATACATATTAAGTATTATACATTTAAGCGAGGTTTGCGGTACACCACATATTCTTTTGATATCTTCAGGCCCAAATAGTAACTGATATTGTGCATAGTATACTATCCTCTGGTAATGATAAGGTTATAGATATCATTCTCTTTAATACATATATGCTACTCTTTCTTCGTTCAGAGGTAAATATGACAGATCATATTTGCAGCTCAGATTCTCACCTGAAACCCACACGATTGCAGACAATACCTATTTAAGTACATGTAGGTCAAATATCCCTACAGGCAGAAAACAAATCATAAAGATCTTTGCATGGAATGGTGAATGTAATAACGCAAACTTCCACTGCCTCGATGGATGCTATTATCATGCATGAGGATTCATATTAAAATCAATTGGACGAGATACAATTTCTCTATTGTGCTCGATATACAGCTTGGTGTTGAGCAGCTAGCGGAAACCAAATTGAATGACCCACATATCCCTTCTATCAAGTTCTATGTGTAATCAGAGCGTGGAGTACATGATACCATCTGACCTAGTTTCAACAGAAGAGGGGAAAAATTATCAACATTAAATGACATCCTTGGGTATCATGACATGTTTGCCGGTTTTTTTTCCCTGTAACATCTGGTGCTCTGTCTTTGAGAATATTCAGGTCATAGAAAGAAACAGGAGGGGGTGGGGGGGGGGGGGGGGGGGGGGGTGGGGTGGGATATTACCCTCTTTATTTTAGAAGAAGGAAATATGCTTAATATGACCTATGAAGCTTCACCCCTCTTCCGGTGTAGGAGGTACCCTTCTTATCTCTCCTTTAATGATGGTAGTACCCTTAATATTGATTGATAATAAAGCCACTCTCCAATCTTTTCAGAGAGATATATTCACAATATCAATGATAAATTTTACCCATTGTAAAACAAAGCTTATTTTCGACAGCCGCAGATCCAGTCCAATACAATACTTCCATTCTCTCTGATCTCTGATCACCCATAATATCTTTTTGAAAGTTGCTATTCTCTCTTTCTTCTGTTAATTCCACCAGGCCATTGCTTTGGAGCATTCTGGTATTACTTATTGAATTGTACCCCTCCTAATTCTTTGAGGTCCATCCTCTCTTTCCACTATCCTTACCTTCAGAATATTCAGGAGGAGGGGGGGGGGGGTGACTTAAAAATGATATGATCAATAAAGCAAAGGGGTACATGTTTTCAAGTAACATCTCTACACATTCTTATTGATATTAGATGCACTATGTTGCTCAGAGTCAGACTACTCACTCCCGGAGTTAATCCCCACTTACTACAAAACAGGATTACATCTAAAGCTCTTTATCCCTGGATTCAACTGTTGCAATATTCACAAAGACCAGACATGATATTAATTCATTCCAAGGCTTGATCTGTCTCCTGTGCAGTGTAATGAACCGATGACAATTGATTCCCATCTCATGGAGATAGCCATGCATCATGCACGCCATCAAGCCCTTGAACTTTTAACAAACTTTCTGCTTTTCTGCACATTATGATGTCCTTTCTGATATTGCCTGCTTCATCAAAATTAATCAGCATTTTGCTATTAAATTCCACAAAGACGATAAGAGTAGATGTTCATACCGTGAAATTTATGGAACATAGCACTTTGTGTTTCATATCCAATTATTAAACAGCAAAAACCTTTCTGCTATCTGCACATGAATTTTTGATGCCTTCTCAGGTATCGCCGGCTTTATCAAAGGGATGAACAGTTTGCTAATTAATTTGAATATTCATGAAAAGGTCTGATATTTATGCCATGAACTTGGATCGCAAAGTGTTTAGTATCCAATCACATGTTGGAAAAAAATGCTTGAAAATTACATCATATGAATAATTATGCCAGATGAACATACATTGCTATATGGGATTGCTTGTAAGTACTTGCCACTACATCCAAATATTCTATCAAAGAATAGAAATGTAGAAACTTTTGTTTAAAACTACCTCAAATTCGGTATAAATCTGCATAAATCTAACAGAAGTTTGGTATTATGCAATAAAATCATGATTAATTAATTCTGAATAATAATGGATGGATATCAAATACGGTATATGGATTTAAATGACTGAAATCAGTTTGCATGTATTGTGAGACATCTAATCTAATCCATGCCGCTTGTGGAACCTGTAACATAAAATATCACAATTAAATGTATCTCCTTTAATCAATTGGACCTACACATTAAATTATATCTGATTCTATGTCACAGACAGCTACAATTCATAGCAAGACTGAGAATACAATAGACTTTACATTGATTGTAAGTCTATTTTTATGTCAATGATGTTACAGATCCTGAATGTGTTTAATATATTATGAGTTAACAAAGAAAGAAACTTGTATCAATGAAAAACATAATAATTGCACTGTTAATGACACCTGTACTGTATAAATGAAAGTAAAGAAAAGAGAGGTAACAACATTCCAAACACTAAACATTATTGATATGTACAGAAAATGCAACTCTCTCTGAAAGTAAAAGAAATTGGAGACAGTTTTGTGATGCTTACAACCAAACTCCTTGCTTGTGTCTCTGACAGGGTTCAAGTATACTTTAGTTTTCAATTGAATTTAGATATGTCTCAAAGTTCAGAAATATATAAGGCTTTTCTCTCAGTATATTAAATAGAGAAATGTTTGCCTTGAAAAATATGATAACAATAATATTCTACCCACTCGTATCAACTTCTCATTGTAATATATAATTCTATATTTTGTACACACATAAACATAAATATTGCAACACCCACATAACATACATCCTTTCCAATATACAGATCCATATCCATTCATAACCGTTGTTGAATTTATTCTTATACTTCTTACATAATGTCATACCTTACTACATACTTGTAAATATAGACATATCTATTCTGACTATAGCTATTCTCTTTAAGCATGGAAACTCTTGCCATCTGTACATTACTATTCCTTCTTTATACTCCTCGATGGAATAAGCTTGACTGTAGGCCTACTTCCAACCTTAACCCATACACAACCAAGAAGGCTTGATGCAATTTGCATACAATTTGCATATAATTTGCATAATTCCTATGCAAACCCTAATACTTGTCACTTGGCAACATCTCAGGTACAGACAAAACAAAGTCCCTTCATTTTCTAACCTTGAAATGGTATATTTGTATCAATAAACATATTCCAAATGTCCTGAAAATATTTGATCACCCTTTTCTTTTGCGGATCTCTTTAATCTACCCAATTTCCAATCGGCATGAAATAAATCCAGAATAAATCATACTGATTTAGAGGTTTATAGAGTCATGTTTCCTAATTAGGTTCTTTCTTTGGCAAGCATTGCAAGAAAGAGATCCTCTAAATGTTAGGAGGCTTTACAGGAGATAATTATTATGAAACCATTGTGTTGACTTGTTTTTCATTTACACACAGATAATGTAGCAGATCAAATTAATGAGTTTACAGGTGAAATTCAAAGAAAATCACAAATATGTCAATTAATGTATCACTAGAAACTGGTAAGCTAACAGATGGCCATGGTACAACTTTTAGGTCAACTACATATCGGGTGATTTATAAAAATACAAATACAACCACCTCCATAGCAGCTGGGATATACGAGAGATTCGCCAGAAAAATAACGATGTTTTAATGACGTCACTATATGGACCACTACTGCCCAAGCAGACGACATCCCATAAAGAATGTACATAATTGCAAAGCTATTATTTGTCAAATTATAATGAGTTTAGTGTATATAAATGTAATGGCATGTCAAACCATTCAAAAGGGGATATGACCCGATTCTGAAAACTAAAATCTTTTGCTTGTAAATACACAGGATTGGGGTTAATTAACAATCAAAGAAACCAGGCTTTCAAATTGAAAAACCCCCGGAATGATATTAAGGACGGCACTTGTTCCCTCTTGAAATGCCGAACATACCGCGGTGTGTGCAGCTGAATATACAATGGCGTCTTATTTTGTTCACAAGCGAAAGATTCCTTTATTTGTGTATCATTGCATTTGTCATCAAAATAAAACCATGCGTGGGGTTTAGAGTGTGGCAATAGATTATACATTTAGTCTGACGATAGTGAAGTAATAGAAAGAACTCAAGAGAATTAAGATGAAAACACAGGCACTGAAAATGTGTGAAATGTCATGGGACATCGTCTGCTTGTGCAAATCATGTCCATACTGTGATCTCACACAGATCAGCAGCGTTCGGAGAGCTCTTCAGGTGCTATGCCGGGGCTGTATTTAAGCATTTTGTAATTTTTAATAATCATTACTCCGAATGTTTCCAAGCATTAAATTTTGATAACCTTGTCGAATCAAAGTTTCAACTTTGCAATAATGAACATAAAGTTAGTTTTTAAAATCAATGAATATCTACTTTAATACAGTAAGCTTCTTCCTTAAGAGATACATACCAAGACTTTCTGATTTATTCTTGAGCATGTGTATTCTCTTTTCTCTGGAATGCTATTCATCTTTCAGATAGTCTCACTAGGTTCATAGAGGTAATTTAAGAAAGAAAAGAAAATACTATTAATGGCATATCTTACTGTATAAAAATGAAGCACACGGGATGTAGGTTCAAAAGCCAATAATGTGATGGATGTTGGTCTGTACTGCAGGGTTGGAAGCTGGATCAGGTCGCATCAATCAAGCCTATTCCTCTTGTTCTGAAGATTCTGTGTCTACCTGAGGTTGGTATGAGATGTGCTCGCTGCCGTGGTCCATGGTGCCGTACGCCTGGTGACCTCTGACCCCTGTTGGAGCTGTGCCTGACCCTTCTCCGGCCTCTGCGTCTTCCATCAGGACATCAGGCACAAAGTCCTGGAATATGGAATAGCAGAGATGGAGAGAGAGAGAGAGAGAGAGGGAGAGAGAGGAAGAGAGAGAGAGTGAAAATACAAATAAATGATCATAGTTTGTCTCTATCTTCTGCAAGATGAAAACTCATCAAGATAATCATTTCACATCTACCATTGATTGTAGATATTGATGAAATATATCTGTAAATCCCCTCTGAAATCATGCTTTTACAAAAAAATTGACACACAAAGGGAGGGTGTCAAATGTAATGTGATAGGGCAAAAAGTGAAAGCTGTACGTGTCCCTTGAAACGGGACTGCACAAACAATGCCTAAGCAGTACCCGTTGGTCACCCATGATCGCTTTTTTCTTATGTTAATTGAGAGCTGACTTGATGAGATAACCACGTGTCAGTGACCTCCCAGGGAGGTCTTATTCCTCCTGACCAAACTATTGCAGATAGGCTTTAAAGGGCTAAACACTGACTGATTAATCAACATCTGTTAAACCAAACTTGCAACAACAATAATCAAAGATCAGGGACCTGGTACATTTCAATCATCTTCCAATCATCATCACAAATTGACAGCTACTGTCTTTGTTCTGCAAGTCTGGAATCACTTCTCTGCATTATGTATTAGTCTCTAAAGGTAAAAAAAAAATTAGAAATAATACTCAACTGCTATCTTATGTCCAATTTTTTTTTTTTTTTTTAAAGCAGTCAACTTCAAAATCCATTTGCTAAATGTGATCTGCAAATAAATTGTCTCAAGCAGACTGTAGAATGCAAAGTAACTTCCAGAAGAAAAAAAACATCCATAAGAATCCCTATTTTCGTGACATATGAAGTGCTTAATGCATTGCCAATTTGAGAAATTAATTAACATGCTCATATACCATTCATACTTTGCATGGGCTCATATTTCATTTAAGTTCATTAGTTCCAGAGGACTGAACATCCTGATTTACCAAAGAATAACAAGGCCAGCCATAATATGATGGAGACACGCACACAGAGGCCTCCATTTTCCCTCCGTTGTTGGTAACGAAGTCTTGCTTTATAAAGCATAACTCCCAATTCCTCTCACATGATTTAACCATAATGTTCCATTCCATTACCCAAGAGTTATGCCAGAAGTAATGGCAAGTAATGGCAGGTAATGGGTATATTGGAACTGATGATTTCATTAGTGCATACAGAAAGTACAGCAGAATGCCGCAATGTTTTGTATTTCACAAACAGCCATTTTTCTCACTTCTCCCTTTCTATCTCCTTCTTTAAAACACCCCATCTAATCTTTAATTTTCATATTTTCAATGAGACAAAAGTCACAAAGGGTTTAAGTATTATTGCCAGAGCCATGTCTGAATTAAGTCATCCATATTTTATAGGCTTAATGACTAATAACTTCCTGCCCTCTGCTTCCTCTTTCGCTTTCCACTTTCTTATGCTTACATGTACTCCTTCTGTGTACATCATTAAAATTCATCCCCCATGTATCTTTTCCATTAAACTGGTGCCTGTGCCCCGCCTGAATGATTTTGTTTGCACTCTTGCACATGTCAAAACATACAATGTCTACATTTCAATCATTAACTTGTCAGATGATGAAAATGAATTTAGACTTGGCAGTCCACATATGCTGTTACTGATCTGTAAATACATTTGAGATTTGTTTTTACTGAATAACATGTTGGACAATGATTGCTGAGAGAGGGGCAGAGAGAGAGATAGAGAGAGAGAGAGAGAGAGAGAGAGAGAAAAAAAAAGAGAGAGAGAAAGAGAGAGAAATATAGAGGGAAGGAGAAGTACATAAAAGAGGGCAAGGAGAAAGAAGAAAGACGGGTAGAAGAAAGAAATAGTGAGCTTGAGAGAAAGGGAGGAAGAGAGAGAGGAAGGAAGAGGGATAAGTGCACATCCTTTCTCAGAACACTGTCGAAAGAGTTCAACAGACGACAGCTAAATCAACAATGCATGATGGGATACAAATTCCCACTAGCGACCCACGCCTTGCACGCCGTTGACACTTGTTTTGTCACAGACCTATATCTATTGGATGAGATTCTCTGTATCAAGCTCACAGGCACATTCAAATGAAACATTTTCCTTCCTGCCTACTTTTATATTCATTGATAAATGTCTTCAGCAATAAACACATGAAGTAGAATGAATCTGAAGAGTGACAGATTGTACATTTTGCAAGTTCCTATCACCTTGTTCAATTTAAGGGATAGCGGGCACACATCTAGCCAGTGCTCTTTCAAGTATAAATCAGAAGAAAATAAGCCTCATTCAATTATCTTCTTCTGCCCACTTTCAAATTTTAGATCCGAAAAGCACCTAAAATACACAATAATTATTTGTTTTAAAAGGGTCAGAATTTTTCATTTACATCTCTTGATTGTTTTTGTACTATTCATCCATTTTCCTCACTTCCTTTTCATCAATAATTTCATCTCCCCTTATTCTCTATAGAGTAGACAATAGAGCAATGAGGGAGAGAAATGAGGGAGAGAAATGTGGGAGAGAAATGAGGGAGAGAAATGAGGGAGAGAAATGAGGGAGAGAAATGAGGGAGAGAAATGAGGGAGAGAAATGAGGGAGAGAAATGAGGGAGAGAAATGTGGGAGAGAAATGAGGGAGAGAAATGAGGGAGAGAAATGAGGGAGAGAAATGAGGGAGAGAAATGAGGGAGAGAAATGAGGGAGAGAAATGAGGGAGAGAAATGAGGGAGAGAAATGAGGGAGAGAAATGAGGGAGAGAAATGAGGGAGAGAAATGAGGGAGAGAAATGAGGGAGAGAAATGTGGGAGAGAAATGAGGGAGAGAAATGAGGGAGAGAAATGAGGGAGAGAAATGAGGGAGAGAAATGAGGGAGAGAAATGAGGGAGAGAAATGAGGGAGAGAAATGAGGGAGAGAAATGAGGGAGAGAAATGAGGGAGAGAAATGAGGGAGAGAAATGAGGGAGAGAAATGAGGGAGAGAAATGAGGGAGAGAAATGAGGGAGAGAAATGAGGGAGAGAAATGAGGGAGAGAAATGAGGGAGAGAAATGAGGGAGAGAAATGAGGGAGAGAAATGAGGGAGAGAAATGAGGGAGAGAAATGAGGGAGAGAAATGAGGGAGAGAAATGAGGGAGAGAAATGAGGGAGAGAAATGAGGGAGAGAAATGAGGGAGAGAAATGAGGGAGAGAAATGAGGGAGAGAAATGAGGGAGAGAAATGAGGGAGAGAAATGAGGGAGAGAAATGAGGGAGAGAAATGAGGGAGAGAAATGAGGGAGAGAAATGAGGGAGAGAAATGAGGGAGAGAAATGAGGGAGAGAAATGAGGGAGAGAAATGAGGGAGAGAAATGAGGGAGAGAAATGTGGGAGAGAAATGAGGGAGAGAAATGAGGGAGAGAAATGAGGGAGAGAAATGAGGGAGAGAAATGAGGGAGAGAAATGAGGGAGAGAAATGAGGGAGAGAAATGAGGGAGAGAAATGAGGGAGAGAAATGAGGGAGAGAAATGAGGGAGAGAAATGAGGGAGAGAAATGAGGGAGAGAAATGAGGGAGAGAAATGAGGGAGAGAAATGAGGGAGAGAAATGAGGGAGAGAAATGAGGGAGAGAAATGTGGGAGAGAAATGAGGGAGAGAAATGAGGGAGAGAAATGAGGGAGAGAAATGAGGGAGAGAAATGAGGGAGAGAAATGAGGGAGAGATATGAGGGAGAGAAATGAGGGAGAGAAATGAGGGAGAGATATGAGGGAGAGAAATGAGGGAGAGAAATGAGGGAGAGAAATGAGGGAGAGAAATGAGGGAGAGAAATAAGGGAGAGAAATGAGGGAGAGAAATGAGGGAGAGAAATGAGGGAGAGAAATGAGGGAGAGAAATGAGGGAGAGAAATGAGGGAGAGAAATGAGGGAGAGATATGAGGGAGAGAAATGAGGGAGAGAAATGTGGGAGAGAAATGAGGGAGAGAAATGAGGGAGAGAAATGAGGGAGAGAAATGAGGGAGAGAAATGTGGGAGAGAAATGAGGGAGAGAAATGAGGGAGAGAAATGAGGGAGAGAAATGTGGGAGAGAAATGAGGGAGAGAAATGAGGGAGAGAAATGAGGGAGAGAAATGAGGGAGAGAAATGAGGGAGAGAAATGAGGGAGAGAAATGAGGGAGAGAAATGAGGGAGAGAAATGAGGGAGAGAAATGAGGGAGAGAAATGAGGGAGAGAAATAAGGGAGAGAAATGAGGGAGAGAAATGAGGGAGAGAAATGAGGGAGAGAAATGAGGGAGAGAAATGAGGGAGAGAAATGAGGGAGAGAAATGAGGGAGAGAAATGAGGGAGAGAAATGAGGGAGAGAAATGAGGGAGAGAAATGAGGGAGAGAAATGAGGGAGAGAAATGAGGGAGAGAAATGAGGGAGAGAAATGAGGGAGAGATATGAGGGAGAGAAATGTGGGAGAGAAATGAGGGAGAGAAATGAGGGAGAGAAATGAGGGAGAGAAATGAGGGAGAGAAATGAGGGAGAGAAATGAGGGAGAGAAATGAGGGAGAGAAATGAGGGAGAGAAATGAGGGAGAGAAATAAGGGAGAGAAATGAGGGAGAGAAATGAGGGAAAGATATACATGTAAGGGGGGAGATATGAAGAAGTTCGCAACTGGCTCTCACTCCCTCTTTGTTTCAGTGTAGAATCTCTAGCAATGTCCATCTCTCACTGTCTCTAGTACCTGTCTCAATCTCACATATTCTATATCAATATTTTCATCTCTCTGATCCTCTTTAGATGACAAGATGATAAAAACTTGTAGACTTAACAAATGTGCATGCCTCTGTGTGGGAGGCCAGAGGGAGGGAGCTCATTTCCTCTCCCTCTCTTTCTACCACTCTTCCTACCACTCTGTCTCTAGCTGTCTCTCCCTCTCTTCCTACCACTCTGTCTCTAGCTTTCTCTCCCTCTCTATCAATATTTTCATCTTCTCAGATCCTCCATGAAGCACAAAGCCAAGATAACTCAAAGACATACCTGTAGAGTGTAGACTTAATA